AAACAAAAAAAAAAAAAAGTAAAAGTCATTCACAGGCTCAAAGGTAAAATTCAATTCTGTCAAAATACATTAGAGCTTGGAGCGCTACCCACAGTGGAGAGAATGCATTATTTTCAACATTCAAGAGCAAACCTTTATGTGAAAGCACTGTAGATGTGGCCAAGCAATGATCCAATCCATCGTATATAAAGAAAGAACTGGACCTGTATAGTCGAGACTTTTACATATGCTCAGTTTCAGAAGGGCAATACTGAACTTAATATTTTACAGGAGAATGTTGTGATTTTTTTATTGCCATAAGAGAAAATACTCTGTATAGTAACCATAGTTTGATGGTGTATTATTTTACATGACCCTTTGCTTTGTGTCATGTTTTATAACCGTGCTACACACCAGGGGTAGGCACACTCCAGCCCTCTAGCTGTGGTGCAACTACACATCCCGTTAACCATTGCAAGACTGACAGACATGACACTCAGAGCTAGGATGGGATTTTTAGTTACAATACAGGAGGGCCAGAGGTTGCCTACCCCTGCATGCCCCACACACACTGACCTCTAGAGACCACGTGTATGACGGGCAGTGCAAACAGCATCAAAACCCCCCCCAAAAAAAAAAAAATCAGTCTGGAAACAAAATTCTGTATAAAAGAGTTACACAGACTCGCTCATTACTGAAAAAGGAGATCATAGACCTGTATTGTGACCAAAAAGCTAACAATTATGACTCTTTATACTTGCACAAGAAGCAAAGTCTGTATATGCAAGCAGCAAATCTGACTGCCGTTAGATCACAAATAAGTGCTTTAAAAAAAAAAAAAAATTAAAAAAAAAAGGACAACTGAAAATAAAAAAAGGTAAATTTCCAACGGTGACAAGGTACATGATACCACTTCAGATTAGAGGGAGATCTGATCAAGGAAATTATTCTTCACTTCCTATCCCAGTAACAGGTAGTGTCAAGAGAAAAAAGATAAATTACACTACCACCAGGAGTGACAGCAATGAACATCAACTATGTAACGCTAAAGTTTTGGGTGGATTTCCACTTTAACATTTTGATGCAGTCAAATGATGACTAAATCTAACAAAAGATGGACCTGCAAAACTAGTTAAATCAGAGATGAGATAAAGAATATCCCAACTTACCTCGAGGGGCATTAGCCTGATAAGTGTTGCAAAACATTGTGTTGCCATAAAGCGAACGCTGTCCGTTTGGTCACTCATTCTACCCAGTACTGGCACAACAAGCAGGACAATGTATGGCACAATGCCGACATCTAGCTGCTCCATCACACCTTTGTTTTGTACAATTAAGGTTCAATGATATAAAAAAAGGCAGACACAGGTAGAGTTAAAAGCTTTTTTTAGACTAGCAGCTAAACAAATCTGATAAAATCAGAAAGCCATCTCAAGTCCACTATAACCCGAAATAAGAAAAGAATGAAATACCACTGATGTATTTATGTGTGATTAATAGGTGTTCCAGTACATCCATCAGTGTCAGAAGATCAGAGACGAGTAGGTGAGGGGGGAAGCGCTAAACGAGTACAAATACAAAAAGACAAGTACAAAAGGATACAGGCCAGAGCTTCAATGGCCCCCTCCTGCTTTGTGTTATCGTCAATGGCACCGAGCCAAGGCAAAACTTTCTTCAAAAAGACATTCATTGTTTCCATGGTAGCGATCCGGCTCATAACTCCTACACATCGAGATGCCATGTGTCTCACTGCAGTGTATGGATGTTGCAGACACGTGAACAGATGAGGAAGATGTTGAAGCAGCTGGTAAAGAAACATTACATTTAAGAACAGCAGCATAGTCATCTTGATCCCCGATTGCCTATATCACAGCCTGCCTGGTGTGGAGATAGCTGGAAAATCTGGGCCTCATTTATAGAGAAAGCATGACAATTTGTTTTTAACTGTCCATTTCCATGACTCATTAACATGTCTGAAGGAACCAATTAAGTTGCAGTTCTTCATTTTTATTAAGTACATACCAGTGTTAAAAGAAGCCATGATCTTTACGCACGACATTTGTGATCAACAGAACTTCAAATGCTCTCAGGGTAGTTCCATCCTGCTCAGTCTAGGGGCTAAGTTTTAGGCAGACATATTTCCTCAACTCTGAAGCACATCTGTAATCAACCCAGAATAATCCGACGACATCAACTGAATACTGGCACCCAGAGACAACTGCACACACCCAACATTTAACCTCAGAGCACCCCAAAGCATCCAGGGCATATTATGCAAACACCGCCTGACCAAACAGTGCGGTGAGCCAAAGTGGTAATGAAGTCACTATATGACTAATAAAGCTCCTCGGGTCTCATGGCTCTCGGGGTGCTCTAAAGCTAATGCAATGTATTATGTCGGGTGTTCTAATGTGTGCGCTCCATTTAATTGCTTCTGCTTAAATATAAAAAAATATATATTCAAACACAAGCAAGGAGACTTCAGAACTATGCCTACGTTAGGATGACTTGCACCAACCACCCATTTACCATGTTCCGAATATGAAATTACTTATTATACTATACTTTTCTTTTCCTTATAGTCCTGAACTCTGCCCACAATAAAACTCAATTCAACCCCACGCCCCCAGTTCTGGGGAAGGCGCTGGTGCCTCCTTTCTGCCTTCTGCTAAGGTTGTCAGCAGTGCCGCCAGGCTGCTTTCAGGACTATAACTGCAAGATCTTTGTGCTCTTTAATATGAAGGTGTGCGAGAAAGTCCTCTTGTTACAAAGTGATTAGAATCAAGTAGACAAAAAATAAAAATAATAAACAGTAAAATGAAAGCAATTATCTGAACTTTCTACTGGTGTTTGCTAAACTCATCTGTGGTACCATGGTGCTGCATTACATTTATGCACCAAGGACATAGCAATTATATAGGTCTTCAAAAAGGCAATTGGAGGGAATATTAGACTGCGATACCAATGACGTTTACCAGAGGGTGAAGCTTGGAATCCATGGAAGCGGCAGTAGCTTCAAACACTTGGAGGCTGCTGACCAGCTCCTGTGCATGGTCATCTCCTTTTTCCAAAAGAAGTTTCCCATCTGACATAATGAAAAAATAAATAGAGGAATAAAGAAAACAGACTACTATAGATTGTACACAGTTTCATAGCCATATACTTAGTCAGGTTTTAAAGTGCATTAACTGTGGTTTAGGAATAAATTATCCCTAATTTAAGGGGGTTAGTCCAAATCAGATTGTTTTGAGATCCTCACACCTCCCAATAACCACACACAAGCAAAAGGTTTGTGACTGCCACTCCTTCTGGGCATATCAGATCCAATAAACTTTGGGAGGGGTGGAAAACAGTATGCCTTCATAGATTCCTAATCAATTTAAAGAAACCTTTAAAAAGGGAAGCAGATACCATGGTTGACTTTATTTTGTTAAAGGCGTATACACTGGGGCAGTCATCCTGGCTTAAATAACCCCAATGAGTCAATAAACCAACTAGACATGCTTGTCCCAAGTCAGCAACTTACCGAGTTCCAAAGACTTTACACACACAAATTATTCTCAATGCTAGGGATGCACCGATACCGGTATTTTGGTACAGAGTACCAATAGTTTTTTTTCGGTACTCGCCGATACCAATTACCGAGTAACAGAAGTCCCATTCAGGAAGCCAGGTGGCGTGTAATGACTCGCCACATGGCTCCCCGATTAGCCGGGAAGCGTGTAAAGAGTCGCCACCCGGCTTCCCGATTAACAAGAAAGTCCCCTCTTACCTTAGTATGTGCAGCCCGTCACCCCCGGGGCCTCTCCAGCGAGAACGCCGCCCAAATACTCGGAATCGGCACCGATATCGCTATTAGTATCGGTGCATCCCTACTCAATGCCTATATATAATTTTTCCACTTGAAGTCCAATTCACTCGAGGCCAACTGTGGAAAAGCTCAGATTATCCAAGTCAACTGGTTTGAGACAGTGCATACTGTATTATTTTTTTTAATGCATTTTTAAAACTGTGAGGAAAAGCATTATGGTCAGAGAGAAAAAAAAAAACCCCACACCCGAAAACCATAAAAATCTGGTCACCTACCAAAATTGTCAACATTTATGTAGTTCCTCAGAGGTCCAACCATCGATTCCCAGAGATAAGGTAATCCTGTAGACAGGTCAGTGGCAAAGTGTTTGGCAATCTTACCAAGAGTGTATTCTGCGCCTCTTCTCTGAACCTGTTTCTGAGTCTAGAAATGCAATATATGGAATACAGGTTATCCAACGATCCTAGCCTCAAACCGCTTGTCATCTCTATTACCATTATGCTACCATCATCCTAAAATGATCTATATCTATACATCTCTTACCAAGCCAAAACATTTTAAAGATTGTGCAACTATTTTTAAACTAGATCATACACATCATGCAAAGTGATATCAGGCAAAAATATTTCCTGACCCATAGAGGAACAGCAAGATGAGCTGTATACGAGGAATGCACAGATACCGTTTTTTCGGTATTGGGTACCGATTGTTATCTTTCGGTACTCGCCGATACAGAATACCATTACCAGTACCTCTGCAAGCACGAAGCCGGCTTCCCGAGCAATCAGGAAGTCGGGCGGCCTGTCATACCCCGCCACCTGGCTTCCCGATTGGCTAGGAAGCCACTTCCCAGCCAAACAGCATGGATCGAGTTGTTAACGGCCGCCCGGCTTCCTGATTGGCGGGGAAGCCGGCTCCATGTTCCCTTGCAGCACTGCTGGTCAGAGGAAATACCCCTCTGACTGGAAGTTCCTGTATTGAGGGCAAGTATCGGAGCATTTGGCCGAGTAAGAGTACTCACCCCATTACTTGGTATCGACACAGATACAAGTATAAGTGCATCCCTGCTGCATACATATCTCCATCTATAGACACATGCCTCAATCAAATCTATTTTAAAAAGGGTAGGAAACTGTGCAAACAAACATTATGCAATACATTTTGTGCCTTCACCTACCAATAGGTCTGGTGGCCACATCTGCTTTTTTTTTACGATAATCACTTCAAATGCAAAAATGAAAATATTGCACCATGACCTCCCAACAAGGGAATAAGACAGACACATGGGTTATCCCAAACAACTGAATATCTGATGCAACAGCAAGCTGGGCATTACAAATGCACTGTGCCCATTGGGAGAACAACTGTGCATTAGTCTCAACAATGACATTTAGCTGTATGAAAACACACAATTCACAACACATTGGAAAGAAAGGCTGCAAACACTTAGCTTCAATGTATGGAGTTTCGCTGTACATGGGTGCAAAAAATGAAAAAAGGGCCTCAGTCATGAAGGGGTTAAAATTATAAAGCTAAAACACCAAATGTGGCGAAACCCCAGGGTATACATTTCCCTACTACTTGCAAGCCTCAGTTTTGTAGCAAAGCAGCACTGAGATAGGATCATAAAAAACACAAAGATTGGACCTGCATCCCTAAATGGGCTCCAAGAAAAGAAACCGTACGGCGAGTACAGCTCTAAAATGAAAAGACAGACATCTGGTCCGTGGTCAATGACCTGTGAGTCATTCATCGATGGTCTGGCATGAGAGAAAAAAAAAAAATCACATCACAAATGTGAATGGGAAGCCTGCCAAAATACATGGTCCTGGAAAAAGCTTCCAGTCTACCATCACTGGGGTCCTTAAATGAGGGAGCATCTTCAACTGGAAAGGATGTTAAAAGGCAAGAGGATTGCCATTTCAGACTACTTTGTTACAAACTCCTCATTAAGAGGGGCTAGTGCCAGCAAGCATTTGGGAAGTGCTTCCAATCTTCATATACCAATGCAAAAAGAGGGCATGAAGGGAATTTTTTTGGAAGCTTTAGGAGCCCTGTAAACCAGGGTGAGAGACAGGACTGGTAGAACAAACCGGCCCATCTTCCAGTTTTAGGGTGTCTAGTATCACATCAACAAAGCCCCCAAAAAAAGTCTTTCAAAAGTGGGAGTAATATCGAAAGACAGACTACTCGGAGGAAAATTCATCCGTCAGCAACTTGAAAAATTTGCCAGACAATTCCACAGCTGAAGGCTCGAAAGCAGCCAAGGTCACAGGCAGATCTGCCATGGTTTGCAGCTTCTGCGTTCAGGGTTAAAGATGAGATCTGGTAATCTGCAACAAAGTCTCGCATGACTGTAGTAAAAACTTCCTGATAGGGAGGCATTCTAACACCCGATGGAGCCAGAAAAGACTACAGAAAGGGGACAGACTCCAACACTAATGGGTAAACAAGACTCCACGCTACACGTGTCAGCACTATCAAGGGGGGCACTTAACGCATCCTACACAAAGAAAAACACTGAAGGGCCTATTCACACCTATGCATGTGTACAGGTGTGAACAGGATTTTACAGTTCCTACTTTATTGTGCTTTTAAACAACTCATAAATGTGAGCCAGCCCAATAGGAAAGGATGGAATTTATACTTGAACTGTTTTCATACCGTAAAATTAATGTGCATTACCACACCCTAAAAACAGGTTTTACTATTAAAAAGAAAAAACTCCACAGGACAGGATATTGGGCATCAAACATCTGAAAAGCACCAAGATTCTCCCTTTCACATTGTGCCCTGGGACTCATCAGTCAAAATCCTATAGCCGATAGCTGAAAAGGTGTTACACAAAAAGGAAAAAAAACACACACACTAACAGGGTTCATTCACAAAAGGGTGAGGAGTTTGGAGAAGGCAGGAGAAGTGAACAATCTAGGATAACATAGCAGAGCTGGAAAGTGAGCTGAATTGGAGAATTTGTCCAAATCAGCTATGTTGTCCTAGATTGTTCACTTCTCCTGCCTTCTCCAAACTCTTCACCCTTTAGTGAATAACCAAGTGGCACTTCTAGCAAGCAACTTCAGCCATTCCAACCAGAAAGATGGCCGCTGTAGTCCAAGGAAAAAAGTTATAAAATAGTCAACCCTGCTGCATAAAATAATGCCCCACGGATTGGAAAATAATTCACAATGTGTATATACAAATGACGTGATCACTTCCAAAAAAGCAACTATTACAGGCCCTCCAGAATAATTAAATGCAGCATTATAGGACAAGTCAACCTAAAAAAATTCTACATATCTGACAATAGTATACGTTGAAGAATTGCTCATAAGATGCTTGTGATGAATTTACTCTAAACAGATTTATATGTTGGTTCATTTTCTGATTTATGTTCAAACCAAGGATTGCAATTTGTGAAGCTAGTACACAATGCCACAACAAACTACAGGTACCTCATCAGACTCTGCAGCCCCATGGCTACTGCTTCCTGCAGGCAACTCTGCCACCTGGGATCTCGCTGCTTTAGGAGCCGGGCCTCGTCTGCTTGTGATTGCAAAAGCAGCTTGCTGGTGTCTGTAGAGGGTAATTATGCCTCTGTGCTTCGTCACTGTATGGCAAGTCCCGTCTTTTTCAGAATTCAATCCTTTATGCAGAAAAAAAAAAAAAAAAGGGCATTGCAGAAAATACACTGTACTACACAAAGGCTTTGATTCATGTAAACTATACAATACCAGCAATGTACTCGAATATCACAAACACTGCATACATTTAACACAGTGTAGGTCTTTGTCCTTTAGGAGAATGTCATTTCAGTAGATTTACAATTGTTACATTGTTTAGAAGAAAAGCCTGTAAACCTTGAGAATCATGGTGTGAAAGATGTAGCAAAATGTGTCTCTATACAGAATCTATTCAAGGTAGAAAAGTGGTAAGAATTAAAGGGGTTCTAAAGCCTCAATTTTTTGCCTATATCTACTGCTGGCAAGCAGTAGATATAGGCAAAAAGTTAAAAAAACAAATAAAAAAAAAAACACACCACTAAAAACAGCGGTTTAGACTGACCTCATCGCTGCACACTCCCGCTGCGAGAGTCCGGAACTGATCGTGCGCCCGCAAAGGATCTTGGGGCAGCCGCATGCGCAGTTCGGATTCTCGGCCGGGAGACGAGCAGAGACGCAGGTAAGTCTATGGACGCGTGCACCCGCCTGCAGACACTGCTGGATGGGAAGTGCCTGTAAGCAGAGAGGAGTCAGCGCTGGATCGTAGAGCTGCTGCACCGCTGGAGGGACAGATGAAAACATGGGGAAAGAAGAGGAAGATCGGATTAAGATACATCATTTAAGGTAAGTGCTAACATTAACATGGGGGGTGGGAAAAATTATCCTTTAAATGTCACTTTAACTAATGTCCACATAACCCATCCAAGCTTTTTGGTACAAGCAACCACTGAAGTTTTCAGGACGGTGGTTCTCAACTGGTGGGTCGCGACTCAAAAGTGGGTCACAACCACGTGCCTTCCACTGCACTAGGTGAGAGGCTCCTCAGCCTCCCCCTAGTGCTGCAGTGTCAGTTCTCGCGCCGAACAGACATTAAAAATATGTTGCCCGGCACAGAGTGTAAGCTTGAGGTGGGGTGGGCTGGGGTATGGCCGAGAGGGAGCTTCATTCATACATGCATTGCTCACAGCTCCCTTGAATGCCCTGTAGAGGTGCCTGGACTGGAGTGACGTCACAATCTGGCTACTGCCACCTCTAAAGGGCACGCACGGGAGCTGTACAAGCAATGCACATATGGATGGAGCTCTGCAACAGCACAGCAGCCAACACTGGACCCCAGTTCTCATAAGATAGGGAGACTGGGCAGATCCTATTTTTTTTTTATTTTTTAAAGTGTGTAAGTTGTGTCTGTGGTTGTGTGCGTCGGTCAGTGTTTTTAAAAAAAAAATCTTTATTTATAAAAGGCATGCGAGGCACGCCCCACAAAATACAGCCAAATACAAAATAGGTGGAATCATCCGCAAGTACAGTCACGTCAAGTATACATCATCGGCTTTAAGAATGATATAATGCAATAGTAATCTCTAGCATAAAGTGTGGGGTCTCACCAATACATTATGCGTTTTTTATAAATGTTTTTTTTAACCAATACAACTTTAAGGCACGGTCAGTGTTTTTGAGGGCCCGTTCACTCTAGTACAGTGTTAAACGCACAGTCCCCTGCAATCCCACCTACTGTGGGTTCTGGTGCGGTAGGTGCGTTGCCATACATTTGAATGGCACTCCAACACATCTCCCGCCCACAGTTCAATCACCCGCACCGGAACATGCAGTACTGCAATGTTCTGGTGCGGGCGACTTGGATCGCAACAAATGACCAAGGACAAATGTGGGTCCTAAGGGTTACACAGGTTGAGAACCACTGGTTTTGGAGAAGTCAGATAAACAAGTGATAACCAAAATACAGTTGTATTAACAAAAAGAATAGACTCTAGCCAAAAACAAACAAAAAAGGGTCTAAAGTGAAATAAAAGCATGCTGGTATAAGACGGCATCTTTTACACAAGCCTTTTAAGGCGGTTGAACGTTTCTGTAAACGACATGCAATTCTTTTCTAGATCATGAAGGTAGGCCTCCACTACTTTTAGCTCGACCGATAATATATTGCTCAGTAATCTGAGCAAATCACCAATGTCGGTGCTACAGGTATAGACTCGAGTCATACAAAACAACCCACATTCCAAAAACTGCCGTCATACAGACCACGGATATCCTGAGAAGGGAAAATCTGAAAGCAGGCAACCAAGTTACACAGATGCGGAGGCAAAAGATCAAGAGATAGGTATTTTTGCCAACATGAGATATAAGGCTTTATGATAGCAGATTCTATAAAACAAAGCGTACCTTTTGAGTGGTCTGTGTTGTTGATGACTGGGGCTGGACAACTAACAGAAGGGGTGATATTGGAATCCACACATACAGAGCTGCAAAGGTTTTTTAATATTTTGGGGTTTGGACAAGGAGTCCTTGAGATGCACTGTTGTAAGAGTTTAGCAATAGACAAGGCTGCGTAGTTCTGCACCACTGTATTATCTTCCTTTTTCACAATCTCCATTAATGGTTTGATAATGGGATTGAGCTTCTCGGGAAGCTGCATGAGGCTGACTATAGCACAAGCCGCAAACATGTGCACTCTCAGCTGCAGCACCTGCCATTCCTGGTTAGTTTCCAGCACAGTCATTTGAACTTGCTGTCTTTTTGCATCCAAGATCTGGAAGGCTTTAGGGTTGTCCCGCAGAGCTGCTGTTTCTTCATTGAACACTGTGGTGACCTAGGAAGCGGTAAAGAGTTACAAGCAGGTTAAAGAGGCAACCCAGTCTTTGTCTGCAGTAAAACAATGGTTACACACCCCAAGCCCACCTCCCCCAATATCCCAAAGACTGAATGAGAGAAATCAATGAATCCCCCCTACAACGCTGAAGAGAATCTCCCCTGCTGGCTACTGTATTCAGCCGCCAGCGAGATCCACAGCTAAAAATGCAAAACAGTGATGCAGTTGGCCTACAAATTTTCCTCCAACTCAAAAATCTGCCGAATCAGCAAAAATTCCAGCAGCTTTACTCACTCATGGTCAGATCTCTTTCCACTTGTTCAGAGCAATTTCTTCTAATCGAGGCAAGGGAATAGTGGAAGTGGTCATAGGTAAATGAGGAAGCACTGTGTGTAAAAGGTAGTCGGCTGGACACAACATAAACCACCTGCTCCATTACAATCAATGTGTTCTGCCTGGAATTCTCCTTTAAAAGAAAACGGCGCAGTGGAATCCGGTGGCTTCCACTGATGACCTCTTGCTGAAAATGCCAATTGACTGGCTTCGATTTTTTAGGTCACTTGAAGAAAAATAAAATGTAGGTCAGGGGTTCTACTTACCTGAATTAATTTGCTGTGTACTAAACCTGGGTCAGGGCCTTGGAATTTACCGATGACAGAGGCAGCAAGGCCAACTCACATTTTCAGAAGGTGACATTTTTATTATAACTGGGCAAAGCTAAACAGAACTATGATGAGTTTGCCACAGAGGCAGGGATCCAATGAAGGAACAGGGCACCTGGTGATGGCACACTGATAAAGTGGAACCTTACCCATATCTTTAAAAGACACACCACACACCTTTAGAAATGTTTAGTAATGACAACCTTCAAAAACACATAGTTATAGATAGTTGCCGACTTTGTATTCTTTGCATACCCAATTTCTTCCCCAGTCAGCGAGTGGCCATGTTTACTAGCTCTCCCATTACTTCCTGGATTTCTGGCACATGTGACTAGACATGTGACCATGCACATCTCAGGGGAGGAAAATGCCTTTTCAGATGAGTTTTCCCAGCAATGCTCTGCTGAGGAGGCAATCCCAGTGTGCATGGCTTTACCAAACTGAAGTAATTTTGCCCTTACACTTGCAGAGCAATTCACTTCCTGCTTTCAAAGTATTTCAAAAGCACTGTGTTTTACACCCAACATGTCTATGTTATTAATGCATTGGTAGGATTTGATTTGAGTGTAAAGGTCCACTTTAACCATTTGCTGTCCGCCCGTAGTAAAAAAACGGACGGACGGCACTGCAGCAATTTTTTTTCTGCTTGCGCGCACCCCCTAGCGGGCACGCACGGGCAGAAGAGACACGATCAATGCACACACCCGTTACCGGGTGTTTCACATATAGGCGATCAGCGGGTCCATAGCCCGTCGATCGCCTATATGTGCTCGTTCGCGTCCGCCCCCCCCGACCCCTCACCTTGAATCCCGGGATCGGCTCGGAGGGTGTCAGGAGGAGGACAGGAGATCAGCTCCTTGCTGATCTCCGTCCGGGCTGTGAATGCAGAAGTGATGTGTATTACATCACTTCCGCATTCACCTGTCAGTCATCTGGCTGCTATAGCCAGAGAGAAGAAGCTGATGAAGCAAATCTCTGCTTCATCAGCTTCTTTTGGGGTCCACAGGTGATATTAGGGGTCCTAGAGACCCCTAATGTCTCCATAAAGAGGACCTGTCAGTGTGCCTTTGCTATTATATAGGGGGATTGTTATCCCCCTATATAATAGCAATAACGATGAGTGCAAAAAAATAAATATAAAAAAATAAATAAAAGTAACATAAAAAAGTAAAATAAAATAAGTCACATATAAAAAAAGGGGGAAAAAAACCCCCAAAATGTTTAACTCCCCCACGTTTACGCGCCTATAAACGTAAATACGCGTCCGGTGCCCCAGCGCTCAAAAATTACAATTGCGCCACACATGTTACATATCGCCGAGAACGTCGCAGTGAGAGCAATCATTTTAGGGCCATCAATCACTGATAAACACTAAACTGATGAGCGGTAACAGCTTTTAAAGCGTCGCCTATGGCCAATTTTGGGTATTATCGTTTTTTTGAGGTTTCGCGCACGCAATTTTAAGGCTTGACATGTTTGGTGTCTTTTTACCCGATGTGACCCCGTCTTTTATATTTTACCAAAAAATTGGGTAATAATAAATGTTTAATCATTTAATATAGGGGAAACTTTTTTTTTTTGTAAATTTCGGTAATTTTTCCTTACTATAGTAAAAAAATAAAAACCCCAGTGGTGAATAAATACCACCAAAAGAAAGCTCTATCTGTTCCCAAAAAAGGGTATAAAATTAATTTCAGTACAGCGCTGCATGACGGAATAAATGTCAGTCAAAGTACCGCAGCGCTGAATACTGAAAAATGGCCTGGATGGGAAGGGGGTTTAACACCGCAGATGTCAACTGGTTAAAGTAAAACATTTTAAAGAAGATCTAAAAAACTAGTTGATATTGGCATTAAGCTCATATGCCAAGCAATACACCAATGCAATTAAACAATGAACACACCAGCATACAATCTACTACAAATACAAATGCTGGATAGGGATATGTAACCTTCCAGGAAGATATTTTTTTTGACAGCACAAAGCAAAAAAGTGACTGAATATATTCCTACATATGTCTCCCATCACCCTCTGATGCTTTATTACAAAAATAGTGATGTGGTTAAAGTCTTGAACCAGAGGCAAATCATAATCCCCCAATACAGCACTTTCAGTATAGGCCAATTACTTGATGCTATTTTTGGCCCGGCAGCTTGACGTTCTTCCCTAAAGTCTGCAGGACATACTCACCAGATCATTAGCTTGGTCGATGGTGAATACGCTGCAGTTCACTCTGCTCCGGATGTCAATCTGAGCATCAGCCAGGGAGGAAATTAACTGCTTGCACTCATTCTGCATCCTGGTGAAAGGAATTGCTATTTCATCATAATACAGATGCTCCGAAAGAACCGCAAGCAGGCGTGGCTGGACTGTGAGGGATACCGCTATGCATTCCTGTACACGCAGACAGAAACAGATGATATATAACCACAGAACAGAAAATAAAACGCTCAAAATAATGACACAATTAAAGTACCCCAAAAATTAAATTAAAGCGGGCACAGATTCATACATACATGCTGTTCTACCTGCCAAAGGTTTTCTTGTGCTGGGGCATCCTCTGCTAGTTAGTAAAAGAACAGTGACTTCCCAGTTTAACATAACTGCTCCCTAGACGGGGTAGAATGCCTATTCATTGTCCAAAGAATAGGCTAGATCCTTTGTTCTCAACTGGTGGGTCGTGACCCCGCGTTCGAGTCGCCGTGTGCCTTCCACTTTTCCAGGTGAGAGGCTTCTGCATGTACAGAAACTATTGCATATGACTGGCAGGTAAAATAGTTTTAAAGGTTTATGTAGTTTAAATGTGTATGTAGCCAATTGCCTGAAGTTTCCCATAAAAAAACTATGGAAAGGCTCTAAAAGAAGCAGCCAAGACTCTGAATAGGTTCTCATTTGCGGTCACAGAACTACCAGGTTCCTAAAGAGCACGGACGTTTCTTTAAGAAATTCGTTAAATGGTATAGTAGCGCTGTTATACTGCAGGAGAATTGTGCACAGTGGGAAAAGTAAATCTTGTTTCTTTTCTTTGCATAAACTGTAGACACACAAGATAAAAAAGTATCTTATTAGGTGACCACAGACGGACGAGAATAGCAACAAACCTACAAATGTCTCATTATGCTATGGACAAATCTTCTAGTATACCTGGCCAATAGAAGCCCAACATGCATGAAATTGTAGCCCCGCCCATGGGGTGCCTGCATGTACTTCTAGAATTTTCACATTCCTGAATTGCAGCCTGGAAAGCCCCCCATCCATATGTAAATTCCAGGCAATTCTAGCTTGTGCCCTCATCAACATGCACTTCATAATGCAATGCGTCAGTGGTGAAGCACCTGCATGACTGAGGCAGGGGGAGTGTATTTAAGCTTCCTGTAAGTCAGACTTTTTGGTAGGGGGCTCTTTGGGTGCAGTGGAGAAGAATGTCAAGCTTCTAGCAGCACACCCATGCACCAATAGGCGCCTGTTTTCATATATGAGCTGGTTTTTAATAGTTCAAGTCTGTTTTAACAGTAAAAACGCATGGTAAGGTTTGCAAATACTATTCACATTTACTATTCCACTGGCTAACCAAGTATTACATTTGTCAGAAAAATAGAGCTACGCTTTAAGATCTGGCCTCATTACCTTCTGCAAGGCTGCCCATTCACAAACCACAACCGCCACACTGATCCTCTGCAAAGCAGATTTGGAGTTCAGATGGAAGAGAAGAAGCTGGGCTAGGGATTCGGCAGGTTTGATCTCCTGAGAAGGCGCATTTACGGCAGGATCACAGATACAGCAGCACAACGATCCAAGCAGTCTAGAATTTGGACAGTCAGATAATAGTGAAAACAAGGCTTCATGAACATTTTAGTATAAGCATGTGTTGTAATTAGTCTAGGTTGTTATATCTGTTTAGAACAGAAGTATACTGACCTTGCAGCAGCTACACGAGCTCGAGTAACCACAAAGTCCCTGGTGGCAGAGTCCTCAGTGACACTGTCTGAGCCAGCAATATACTCCTGGGTGACTTCTTTTGTCTGGCCCTGGCCTTGACGCAATTTACCACCTGCCTTTTCCAATGGCAAAGACAAAAACACGCCTTTATACTCTATTCAGAACCGGCTTTATTTTGGCAATACAATTAGCAGATATAGCATATAGATACATTAACGTAGCCCTAAACCCTGACAGAATGCATTTGCAAATGTACCCATTTCTTTCCATTGCTGCTGATCTCCTGCAGCCACTTCTTGTCTACATGAATGCACTCCAGTGATGGCTGCATGGAATTTCTTAGGATATTTCTGTTGCATAGTGATAGTGGAACATGTCTGAAAAGGTCACTTGGTCTCTTGTCCCCTTAGACAGGTTCACAATTAAAAGCCTGGGACAGAGTGTTATCCTATAACAGGAAGTGCACGAACAAGGACCATAACTGCAGGATCACCAAGTGTTTTAATAAAAGCTGCAGGATTCAAAAAATACTGCACAATGACTTTTAAAGTTCATATTGAATCAACAATAATGCAGAATTTACCGAATCAATTTATCTATTCTTTTTTCGGTCCATGTTTTCCGATAGGTTTCTTTTAGGGGCAGACAGTATTGTTTCAGTATAATGTGGTTTATAGGTAAAGTGTAGAATGTCTAGATTTTCTTCACTCCTGTGCAGATCAGTTTTTGTCTTAGAGAACTGGACCAGAAATATACCATTTAATGTTTGCACATTTGCTTCAGCAGAAACAGATCTATAAAACCCCATATCAGTGCAGCTTCAAGTCGAACCTTGTGCTGCTGAAAGTCCGTAATGTCATGTCTGTCTTGACAATAGAGACGATTGGACGTGAACATACCCAGCACTTTCATACCAGATGACCAATGTGTTTAAAAAATACAGAGATCACCTTAATTATGGGAGGCTTGGATCCCAATGAACATAACCACAATTGCTTCACCTCACCTTTGACTTGGGTTTGACCTCGAGCAGCATATTTATGTCAATAGGCAGATGAGCCGGCTGCATCATTAGACAGAGCCATGCTCCCATCCACGGGCAGGCAGCAGCCACCACGTACTGCACAGATGCTTTGGTAACCAGTTCCTGCCACAACTGTGAAAATAAAAGCTTAATTTACAACAAGCCAGCTGGATATCAATCGTAGCAGTCAGACAGCAACAGGCACTTTACCTTATGGATAAGGTCAAGAATTTCTTGGTTGCTCTCCAGAATACAGAGTTGAAATATATGCCGCAGCATGTCTTGCAAGATGGGGGTTAGCCAACCCGAACAAATCTGGAACAAAAAAGAGGTGGAAGAATGGACTCAGGCAATGTACGAGAAGCCAAGTGCAGGTGTCAGAATGTGATGTATACTTGGAAGACAGTGCACATATGCAACACTACTTTCATTTACATTTCATTAGTGAGCATTAGTTAGCTTGAGCTCTCCAACAGGGATAAAAATATGGATGCATAAAATGCTGGAAGTCTGGCAGGTACTAAAGCCAATCTGGCTCTTTTGAGAGGACATTTCAAGAGCAATGAACAAGGCATCCAACTACTTGGTATTAGCTCTTGTCCTAAAGTTTGTTCAAATCCTACCCAATACAGAATAAGAGCATTCTTCTACACTAACTGCATTGCATTTAAACTGCAGCTGTGCCCAGACTATATACATTAAAGTATTTACCAACGTTAATAAGCAGTACAAAGATTAATATTTTAATGTGCATAGCCTTTGCTCAGGTACACTTAAGAAAAGAAAAAACACACAACGAAAAAAAAAAAGCCATTGTAATGCTAGGAAAGAAAATTAATTTAAAGAGAACCAGTCAGTAATGAGGTTATATGAATAATCTGACTTGTCAATGGAAATAGCCAGGCTTACTTATGACATATTTAGGTTTCACTTTCTGAGCTACCTTGGCTGTGCTTAATAAGTGTGAGGTTTCCTAAAACCTAACTTTTGCTTCCCAATCAACTGCATGGCCCTACAGTGTTCCAGCTTTGAGTGGAAGAACAAGAAGAGGGCACTACAGTTAAAACAAAAGTGAATATATGATCAACTACTGAGCTCAGTAATTAGCTCTAGCAGACAAGTGACCTGACACCAGACATTACAGTATTACATTTTAGAAAGCAGAGCAAAGCCCGAGCAATTACATTTTTTTTTCAATGACTCAATACCCAGATTCTTCAACAAGCCCTGTCATGATTGATCTTAAATTTGAGTGATGTAAACAGGCTCATCACTCTGCCTTAAAGAGAACCTATCACTTTTATAAAATCACATAGGTTAGGTGGCTTTGCCAAGAGGATGATTTCTGAAACATAGGCTAGTGACAATGTAGGCCTGGCTGGCTAAAGAAAAAAATAAGAAAAATAAACACTGTACAGACACAGTACTGTACAGACACAACCGTTCTGTGCTGCGGTGATCAGGAGACGATTCATGCACGGACCCTCTCCTGATCAGCCCGTGTGAAATGGGCTTTTGGGTAGCAAGAAAAACCCCATCTGTGGGTACTCCAAGGCCTACTATAAAAAAAAAAAAGTCATGAAAGCTGGACATCCACAGAACAAATGGTTAGGAACCAGTGGTATATCTTTAATGTTAGTGGAAAACTCAAATCATATGTCTCTCCACTATAAGCGCAATTACAAACCTGGTCCTGTGTGGATAACAAAGTGCATAATGTTTCTAGAGCTGCCTTCCGAACAGAGGAGATAGTATGACGCAGGAAAGGCCATACACGTGGCACCAATATTGTAAGAGATTGCTGAACACTGCAAAGGCAAAACAAGAAATGCACATTAATCAACTTTTTAACCATATTCACTGCTAAATTACAGAGTGGAGGTTTATCTACTTACTTGCACTGCTGAACCTGAGGATAAGCAAGAAGGGAAGAGAGGAGGGTCATGATACTGTTGGTGGAAGCTGTGAGGTCATCTAACTCCAGAAGTGCATCCCATAAAGTGCTGAGAATAAAAGGAACCTAATAAAAAAAAAAGGAAGATTAACATTTTATAAAGATCCATGCTCACTAATAGTCACTGAAAGCACTTCAGTTTATTGGGCTCTACCAAATGTGAAGTCAACCTCTGTAGGTTTTATACAGCAGCATGTAGTGGGTGGACCTGCTGGATCCCAATCACAGCTCTGTTGAGACCATGTGCTGCAGAGTGATTAAGCACAACTACTATCACAAGGGAATACTGGTCTTTGCAAAGGCATTTTGTGCACAAAGTGGATTTATATCCTATGCAGCTTTGAAGAATATTTGAATAAATGTTTTCCATTAGGACGGTCAATTTAGCTCCCAAGTGCAGATGATTATGTTAAAAAAAAAAAAATCACACATTTCAGTGATACCGACATTTATATGCAGAGTGAGAAAGGCCACTTACCTGCTTAAACTGTAGCTTAACTAAACTGTCTACAACAGGCACTAAAGATGCAGCTGCTACTGCCCGCACATCATCATCAAGGTCCTGGAGACCTTCAATTATTGCTGGTAGTGCTTTAGGTAATAAAGTCTTAATTAAATCCTGTAAAACACCCATAAAAAAAAAAAAAAAAAAAATTGGTCATTTAAAATGTAGTTTGAACATTTGTTCGCCTACAGGCACAAAATACAGAAAAAAGAAAGGGTCACCGACTGAGTACCTGGCGAACAGCGAGAGCATATTTGATTCCTAGCAGTCCTCCATGCCTCACTTCCCACTGCTCTTGTGTCAATAAACGCAGTAGTATTTTCACTGTCTTCAGCACTCCGCTTTCATTCATATGTTTGAGGACTACTCCCAGTGTCTGGGCACAAGTTTCTCGAACAGGTGCAACCACCTTGAAGAAAAATCAATGCAGCCACATGTCTGGTTATAAACACTTATTACTTGCCAGTACTTAAATCCAGTAGTACAGTATGAATATCACAATGATTAGTAAGCTCCGCCAGGCAAAAAAAAATAAAATACTGGAACCCTTCCATGTATTAACACAGAAGCCCACTGTTCTGCATCAGCTTCCACAGCAATGGAGTCCTAATGGCAGCTTTCACCTGCAGTGACAATGGCTGGTAAAATACAGTACAACCTTAAAGCACTACGGTTCTCCATGAACCACTGTGATAGTAGAATAGCAGCACAGCGATCCCATCCCTTAAAAGGGAGTCAAAGAGGTGGGGGGGTCCTCCATTTAGACCAAATTACAGGATCTAGGTCCTCTGTCTCCAACCAACATTTGCAGAAAGGTCAATTTACAAAAAAAACAAATAAAAAAAAAACTGGAGGCGAAATAGTCATCTAGTTGCCGAAAGCCATTTATTTTATCACGGGAAGGAACGGAACTTGAGATAAATGCTTTAAGCTTTTGAGAGTGTGTGTCATTACCCAGAAGGAACAGGGACCATCTTACAAAACTCAGGTCCATAACATTCTATGCGCTGAAGCAATGCACAGCAGGACTATAGTATAAACTCGAGACATCACCAGCGCAACATAGCATAAAAGACACAAAGTGTGTGGCACAAGCAGGCAGGCATACATCCAGAAAATAGAGCTGTGAAATTCTATATATTTCTATTATGTAACTGATCTAAAAAAGGTTGTTTACACCAACTCGAATGACCATGCAATGTGGGTTGCAGTTTCTTTTAAAACTCAAAAACTTACTTCGTCTGACACAAAGTCTCCAAATCGATCTAATGCAAACACACAGAGAAGACGGATAGCCAGATCCTCCAGCCATTCCTGATGTTGCTGCTCCATCTGTGGAAACGCGAAAGAGGGGTAATAAAATTTGTACACTCCACTGTATGTGGGAATTACAAATGTAATACATCTCTGCATTGCAAAAACACAATCGCAGCATTCCATAGTACTACTGGCTTTCTGCTTTAATGTGCAATCCCTTTCCATTGCATTACTCAGCCGTTACTTACCTCTTCGAGTGTGCTGTGTGCAATCTTGCCTCCACTTCTACCATGGGCCTTAAGGATCTCTCTGAGACCAGTACCAGCTCCATGTCGTATCTATGGAGGGGTGGGGGCACAAGAAAAAAAAACTATATATAAAATGAACACAATAAGTTAGAGACATTCCTTAATTACCATACAGAACATAAATATATATATATTCCTCTTTCCTAAAGTATAGGGAGAGGAGACTGGAGCACTTCACCCCCATGACTTGACCTGAGCCAACCCAACAGAGTCAGAGAGATCATATAGAATTGCTTCAGTTTTTGTTACCCTCAGAAATGAGGATGCCTTTGTTAAATTCCCCATGGCCCGTTCATAACCCATTTTTGTAAAATTGGTCTTGCTTTAAGATATTCAAATATTTTGAAAATCCTTAAAGGCCTTTTCTAGCTTTAAAATATGAAAATGGCATGTAAATCTATGCAAATAATTCAGAAAAGGTAAATCAATATCGTCAACTCACCTCCCACGATGGGTTAAATAGATCATTAAAGAGCTCTTCACAAAAGCTCTCCAGGGGCCACTCGTTTGTCTAAAGAGAAGGTGAAGGAAACCTTGAGGATCAGGAAAGCATTACATTGTCTTTGCACAGACTTTGGAAAGGTTTTAGAAGTAATATTACCGCATGAGGGCTGAATGTCCTGCTCAAGTGGAAAACCCCTATTAAGCAGAATTATCAAAATGATGTATATTTAAAGGTTAAACAAATGCCATTCAGGAAGCACCATGCTGCGTGTTATAAGAAGGCGCACCTACTGTTTTTAATGCAACAGACGAGACACTTGAAAATTTAAAGTATTTAATCAGATAAGTCCAAAGATAAACAAACCAGCATGTTTGGAAAGCAACATTCTACCTTTGTCAGGGCTTCAAGTGCTGTTCAGAAAGAGTAATGTACAGCACAGAGGGCAATTCAGCAGAGGAGTTGAAGCACTTTGAGGAAAGCACTTGCTAAAAAATGGCCAATTCTAGAGCGGTGCCACCCTTTATTTACAAAGGGGTTACATAATGCAGAAAACCCTGACAAAGATTCAATCCTTTCTCCAATCTGCCCATAACAAAACATTCTGACTGCAACTGGGCTTTAAAGTAGTATCTTCCCTACTGCTGTTCGCCCATGCTGCTCAAAAATCAATGAAGATCTAATAAGGTCAGATTGGTAGGACTCCTCTCTGGCAGCAGGTGGGGTTCAAAGCTCCCCTACAGCTAATGCGAGTACCTGGAAGTGGTACAGTCTGTTATGGTATTACCGAGCAGCTGTGAATAGCCAGAGCCAGCACTGTGTGGAAGTGTAATCATTACACAATAGCAAAGGATCAGTCAGAACGGTTTTATCCATCTGCCCGCTGCTAGTAAACACCCACTGCACTCATAGTATACGATCAGTCAGTGCTGGTGGGGATAGCAAAAGCGAAATCATGGCAGAGTGCATTTAAAAGGAGAACTATGGGGTTAGGGCTTTTCCCAATAGTTCTCCTTAGGGTAACGGGAGGACACAAACTAGCGTCTTCCCGTTACCCTAAGCTCAGTATACCGCCAGCTACAACTCGTGGTATACCGAGACGCCGCAGCTGAAGTGGATCCTGACAATTATGTCTGGATCCACCCAGCTGCGTGAGCGACAGCTGGCTCTGCCTATCTAGAGGCAGAGCCAGCTGTACCCCCCCCCTCCCCCCGTCCGTTTCACCAGTCAGCGCTGGAGGATCGGAGCGGGGGGAACCCAGCCCCCACGGCAGAGGGCAGTGACAGGATCGAGAAGTGAGCGAACGCCGGTATGTGTTCGCTCACTTCCCGATTTACTCAGCTGACCTGTGACGGGGGGGGAGAGAATACAAAAAGTATTTTTTATGTTGTGGTGATACATCTTTAAATGCTCAGGTTTAAAAGTGAACAAGTCAGCACTTTTTCAAGTTTTACAGGAGAGTTCTGCCTTAGAGCAGATGCTACAAGATGCCGGTTATTGATTTGAAAACCATCCTTTGTATGCCCCCCGGAAACAAGTTTACTTTGTTAGCGCCAGACAAGTCAGGATTGTCAAGCTCCTAAGCCCCATTACGGTGTACACCTTTGTCCATTGAGGGTGTTTTAGTTGCCAAGACAAGCACTTGGTTAGGCTTACAAAGTAAAACTAGCTTCAAAGCAGGTACACAGAGGGGGGAAGGTTCTCGCCATCAAAGATAGGAATCCTGTGGTCTTCTTTGGCAGAGCATAAAAGCCTTTTCAGATGTCTGAAAGTAAAAGTCTGTTCACCCAAAACAGTTTGGGTCTCTAAACGTAAAACACAATAGTCCTGAATATCTTAATGTGTAACTACAACCCATCTCTTACAGCCAAGGAAGGTGCCATCTTAGCCTATATTTGGATTGCAGTTGCCAGGGTGCTCCACATGTGATCAGTTAGGACACAAGCCATTTGAGAGCTTGAAGGTTCAGTTGAGAGCTGAAATGAGCTCACTGGCAACTTTGACAGTTGGCATGCCTTAAAAGTAACTGTTTTGGGAGCCATTTAATTGGTGGGTATAGTTCCGCTTTATGGGCTTTGCATTTGCATTCCAAACTTGCTGTGACTATTACAAGGAGAACACCCACAAATCCCAAAGTAAAAAGAACAAAAATCAGGAATCATGGAGATCTAAATGTTGGACAGCAGAGGATTGGGACCTGGTCACAGAGTATTACAAATATTTGCACAGCAATGGGTAGCAAGCCTCATTGCCTTTTAGTAGATCGAAGCTGTGTAGCTCAAAAACCTTTTCTGCAGGATTGACCCAGTGAAAGTGGCCTTAGAGGGAATAAAGCATTACCTCATCAAACAGGGAAGAGTTGTCAGGAACATTATCAATTAATACTTTGGACTCAGTTGCTGGCTGACTGATGACAACATTGGTTACTTTCCTCCTCTTCTCTTCTGGCTCACCATCAGTGCTATCACTGCTAAAAAAAGAAAAAAAAAAAAGTGTCAGCAATGCCAAATAGGTCTGAAATCACATGTATATTTAAAATTGTAATTAATGTCTTAAGTGAGAAGAACTGCTACAATCAGATATAACCTGCTGAAGCCCAACTGCAGCCTAAACTGATGGGATGGGTAATTAAAGGAGCAGGACGACTAATGTATATTTATTTCCTGGAAAAAGACTGCTCTTGATTACCTCCTTTACCAGTCATGTGATCAAAAACCTTAAAACCTTGCACTTAAAATCACATGGCCCCTGCTAAAAAGGATGGATTAGAGTTTGACTGTCATGTGCCCAGATGTCTCAGCTAGCCCCCATTGCTAGACACCAAGCCCTGCCAACTGAGAAATGCCAACGCCTCAAAACAACAACAGAGCCCTTGGCTGTCAATGGGGGCATGACTGGGAGAAAAAAGGTCAGCCATAGTTTCCAACCTGTTGGATCCTAACAGATGCATTTTAAGACTAAGGGATACTTGCAGGCACTGCAAGGTACCCCCACAATAGCGCTGCTGCACTTTAGGCAAGGTCATGATCACGTAGTTAAAACATTTTTTGGATGGAGTAGGGAATGGTTAGCATTTGGTAGGATTTTAATTCCATCTGTACGTTTGAAGCTTCACCCTCACTTTAGGCCTGCTCACTCCATTGTGATCTGCTGCAGTATGTTAAATGCATATGCACCAACATGCCTTATATTAGACTTGCTTTTTCATCTGAATGGACTGTCCAAAGTACCAAAGAGTGTGCATGCAGCATTTTCCGCAGCACAAAGCAAGTCACATTGTGATACAATGCAAGTGAAGTGAAAAAAAGGTGCATTTGTGTGTCATTCTGAATGAACAGCACCCAAACACCAAGCAATGGTTAACTGGCCCCTAATGAATTAGTAACAGGCGTCACCAGGACAGAAATTATCGAGGGGGCACCAAACATTTGACAGTGGTCACCAGAACAGAATACAAGGAGACATTTCCCAATGGGGGAGCTCTGCCATGTGACATATGTGAAGGTAGATATCCATTCACCTTGGGGAGAAGTTCCTGTGTGGTCAACTGACAAAAAAAAAAACTACTAGTGGGGATAGAGACCAGGGAAAACCGGATAAAGATTTTAACCCATAAACAATCAATTTTTATCCATGTGCAATTTTTGTGTTGGTTACAAATATCTTCCCTCACCTTTCTTTTATTCGTCATCCTTCAAAGATTTTTCATCATTGAGGAATAATTACAACTCTTGGCTACAGTCCTTTGCAGTGCATACAATTCAAATGAATGAAACAAACTGGTGACATGACTACCTAAATACTGCACAGCTCTTCTATACTGGGGAATTCAGATTTAACAAAAAAAAAAAACAGGACTAAAGTAAACGGCATAGCCTGGATTCCATTTCAACTTTAGTTATTGGCTGAATCAGCATTAAGGTCTGTTGGGTTGCAAACGCTGAAGGCTTTAAAAGGAGAACTATGAGGCAAGTGCTTTCCACTCACCTCATAGTTCTAGCCGACCTGTGACAATAAAACTGTCACAGGTCGGCTCAGTAGATCGGGAGGTGAGCGAACACATACCGGGTTCACTCGCCTCTCGATCCTGTCACGGCTCTCTGCCGTGACAGGGGGGAGGGGCTGGATTCCCCTCTCCCCGCGCTGACTGGCGGAACGGACGGGGAGGGAGCCGGTACAGCTGGCTCTGCCTCTAGATAGGCAGAGCTAGCTGTCACTCACGCAGCTGGGCGGATCCCGTCATCTACGTCGGGATCCGCTCCGGCGTCTCAGTATACCGCGAGCTACAGCTCTAGATAGGCAGAGCCAGCTGTCACTCACGCAGCTGGGTGGATCCAGACATAATTGTCGGGATCCACTTCAGCGTCTCAGTATACCACGAGTTGTAGCTCGTGGTATACTGAGCTTAGGCTAACGGGAGGACGCTAGTTTGTGTCCTCCCGTTACCCTAAGGAGAACCATGGGGAAAAACACTGACCCCATAGTTCTCATTTAAGCATTCACAGAGTTTGCAACCCAACTGACATTTACGGTGATCAATTCAGTCAGCAACTAAGCAAGTTGAAACGGAATGGCAAGAGTGGCCAAAACAAAAAGTGGGATTCAATGATTCACAGCAAGAGCGATGCAGCCATGCACATGCTTCATGACATTTTTTATATATTATTTTTTTTCGGAGGTGGGTCTGATGTTGGTGAAAAAATGCGAGTCAGAAGTTCCCCTAGAGCAGTATCTTGTATCTGCATGGATTTTGAGAACAAAAATAGCTCCACCCCCCCTCTTTCTTTCAGCATATTCAGCGTTTCAGAAGCACCCCATTCCGATAATTCCTCTAGGTCATTGAAGGCACCCCTCACGCACACTAATAGGTTGTTGAAGATACCAGGGCAGCCCCCAACTTCATGGCAAAAAAACAAACCCCACAAAACGTCCCAGGGTGATAACGAAGCTTTGGAAAAAAAAAAAAAAAAAAGTACATGCAGACACTGAAGGGCCTCCCTACTGGCCACAGAATGGTGTACAGAGCAGAATGGGCAAGTCACAGCATGACAATGAAAACTCTGCATAAAGTTCACACCCAACCAATTTCTTTACGAGAACCTAAAATATAAAGGCTGCCATTGCAAACATCTTCTAAAAATGTTATTGCACGACTTTCTTTTGGATGCAATCCTTTTTATGTCCCCTATACAAAAACAGGCATGAAGCAAGTGACGTCAGGATTTGTTCAAGGTCCCTGTGTGCATTTTAAATTAGCCACTGCTCCCACCTTTGCTCCTGTAAGCGACTACAATCTCCTGTTTAGTTTACAAAATTGTATTGAAACAGTCTATGATAGGCATGATCTTGGAACAGTTGCTAATTTAGAACACACAGGATCATGGGGAACAAAAGTAGCCCTCCTCCAGAAGGAAGGACAGTGTCAGCACCAATTCAGAGATGATTTCAGGATCTATAGCCGAGTGATACACAAATTACACATTAGTTAAGGTACTTTAATGCATTACTACCGACTCCCGTCAAAGACCATTGATCAAAGCAAAACCACTAAAAATCTGGTCAATATTGATATTGCATGCTTTGGGTTTTAATAAATCACAGATTCACTTTCTCAATCCCATTTGCCATCGGAGTGGTCTATAATACTTATAGAACACGTCTGTAGGCAAGGCACTTGTGCAACTTAAAAGGATATTTATAGCCCTGTGCTGTTCTGTTAGCATTCCATGTTAGACATGTGGATCTTTCAAAAGCTGCTCTTGACAAACCTAACGCTTTCTTCCTAGCAGCAATTTCGCAATATTCTGCTGTCAAGTAAGCGCTAGT